AAGTAGTACAGCCCCTTTTAAAATGCTCATGAGGAATTTGTGGGGCCCTGGATTTTTTCTTTATGATCAGGGGGGTTTATTAATAGGGGGAAGCGATTACGTGACGGAATACTCTTAGAGCAAAGCTGGATGGGAAAATTGTCAAACGTCTCAACCGTTTCGATCTGTTTTCGGTTCGCGGCACCTGCGGCACTGTATCGGGCCGCGGTGCTGTCATGCCTTGTCACGAATGGGCGGTCGCAATTGGTTGTCTGTGTCGTGCCCCAGCGCTGGGTCTACCTGCGACATGATGTGAGGATAGCAGGGTTCAGCTCCAAAAGATTCCCGGGCACGTTGAACAGTTCAAAGCACGGTTCTGTTTTGCAGTCAAGCCTGACATTTCTGGTCTCATGTCGAAGGCTGAGCAGGCTCTTTGATGAAGGTCCCTCGAGAATGCGTCATCATGATTGCTGGTTTTCTGTTGTCGCCCCTACTCGCTTACTTCGACTAGCAATGGGATCTGGGAACCAAAAAACGGTCCAGCTATGAGAGATAGAAACCCCCAGCTTCAAATATAAATCTTAGCTTTGCTATTTTGCTCACCTTGCCACATTTCCGCCCCCACCTGGAAGAATGCCACGTCAAGATCATGGTCTGGCCAGGTTGCACGGGTTTTGGGCCTTTCATACAAAACAAATGGGAAAAGACAGGGATCTGTCACTGAAATGAAGTGAGTGCCGAAGCAAATGAGAGGGCTCAAACCGTGCAAACCCAGTCTGGGGACCTGAGTTGAACGAATCCTTTGGCGCCAAAAGGTTGTGCTGCTGCCTTACTCCGCGGGGTTTTCGAAGGCATTCTTTTCTCTACACAAACTGAACCAACAGCTGTTGCACAAGCAGGGTTGCAAGATCATGCTCGCTTTACGGAGCAGACTGGAGGTGGAGGGGTGGTGGGTGCGGATGTCGCTCTTTTTTGAAGAGGAGCATCAGCAAGCGGATGTGATGCGCGACGTCCAGGGTTTGAAGGCTTCAGCGATCGGACTGTAGAGCCAAAGTGGCCGCCTGTGCACTGCAGACTTCCCCCCTGAGAGGCAGGCGAGCAAATGGCTCAGACACAAAGGGCAGGTAACCATTGAGATCTGATATTCAAGCGGTGGGCAACCCTTTGGCTGAATGACAAGCGGTGCTTGCCTCCGTTGAATTTCTAGGCTAGTTGTTGTTCGCAGGTGTGCCAAACTGAACTCATTTCTGGGGCAGCAAGCAGGCAATCAATACAAACCAATTCTTGCAGTCAGTCACAACTTGCCCATTTTTTCTGGCCAAAGAGCAAATGCACCAATGCCTTTGATCTTGTGGGTCAGGGGATGGATGCAAGGTCGCAACAATGGAGAGCGTATGAGCAGCAAAGTCTGAAAGTTACAAGGGTCGCCTCACAGCCCCAGGTCTTCCGAATGAAGGGGCATTTTGCACAGCAAAGTACCACTCACGTGTTTGGAATTCAACGTCAACAAACATGTGGAAGGTTAGGGGAGCCAGGACCGTCCAGGAGCTAAATAAGAGCCTAACAACCTCTACATCAAATTTTTGGAGTGAATTGCAGGATCATCGATTGCATTATCCGAAATGTTTCCAATGTGGAGAGCTCTTGCTTGCATGCTCAGGTTTGATGCCGGTATTGCGAAATGATATAGTTTGCACAGAGTTCATGCATGCGAACTTAACAGCAACAATGGCGTGTAAAGGAGTCCTCCTGGCTTGGGGATGGTTTTTGGAACCAATTCCGAAGGTCTAGCTGGAGAGAGTTTTTAGTTTTGGTTTGTAGCTTCCTGCACCTGGAGCAGATGACTGGCTCAGCCAGGATATGGCAAATCGCGCCCGTGGCTTTATGAGGCAACGGGCTGCACGCTGAACAGCATTTGCCTGTTGGCCGTGCTGCGCGGTGCACTCTGCCAGACCTGAGAAGATCGAAATTCTTCAACTTCCGAAGTCCGTGATCGGCAGGGTTATCGGGAAGGCCACAGCGACAGTTGCATGTGTCTTTGCTGTTTTGGTGTCATGACCCAGGCTGGCGCAACCATCAAAGACATTCGAGAGCGCACAGGCCAAACGATTTTCCTGCAGTTGCCTCGCCTGCCGCAAGTACATTTGCAATGTCAAGGTGCTCGAATAGATGCTCGAGACCAAACAGAAGATCCCGTACAGGTTTCAATGGGCATTTGTCGCTCTTCCATTTGCTGGAAACTGCAATCCACCAGGTGCTCCTGAGTGGCACGCTGGAAGCCTGTGAGCATGCTAAGGAGACCTGGTTGCTTGCGAATTGCATCAGTTCTGCATGTCTGCACTTCACATAGCTTAAATTCAGAGTTCAGCTTCCCAGGCAAAACATGCAAGGGTTTCATCACACCAGCGGAAAGGTTTGTTTGCCAAAGTAAATCAAGAGCTCCCCCGCTGCCTCCTGCGAAGAAGGAACAGGCTGTGAAAGGAGGAGGTGCTCGGTCGGTTGTTGGTGCACCAACTGTTGCGAAGCAGAACGGCAACTTGACCGTTCTTGTGATGACTTCATGCATAGTCGCTTGCCCGTGTTTGTAGATGGGGCCTAGGGCGATTTGGATTTCATGTAGGCAGAGCTGCTACCAAGCAAATGTGTACATGCCAAACATGTCCACGCAAGACGCTAGTCGCGAAACTCCAGTGAGAAGGTTTCAACAGCACACCGCAGCGAATGCCGCTGGGCGGTAGGAGGGCTCAAATGGAGCACAAGTGATTTCTTTCCAACCTCTCTCCGAGTCCTGCAAGAAATTAATTCACAGCCTCGCAGGGCACGCAATGATCTCGCGGCAACTGAAATTTCAATCAGCGCTTGGAGGCGTTGATCCTGGAGGTTGCCGACGGCGCCCTCGTTGCAGGCACAGTGCCTCAGTTTGGAGCTTCAGTGCAACTGACTATCACAGCTTCTGCTGCAGCTCGCGATAGTTTCCCACAATGCACGCAACGCCTGACAGCGCACTATAGCACTGCCTTAGTTAGAGACTTCTGCAAGATCCGCTCCTCGCTCCGTCCGGCCTGTGGATCTGACAGCCTCATGCACAGCATTCGAAGATTCTAGAGGAAAGGTTCCAGCGTTAGGGTCCAGGCCTTGTAGCTCGTAATTCCTAAGCTGATCTAGGCAGAATCATCACAGGGACTTCGCAAACCTCCTCCTGCTTGGTTGGAGTGTGTTGTGCTGTTTCCCACCGCCGAAGGCCGTGGCACAGATGGGGCTGAACTGAAACCAACAGATTTCTGTGGCCCTGCAATAATACTGCAATAATGCTGCTAGTGCCCCTTTTCTGCAGGTGACTCGCGTGAAATTGGAAGAGAAGGCCGTCAAGCAAACAACCTATGTGGCTTTTGCAAATAGCAAGTGCTGGCTGGCATGTTATGTACAGTCCAATATGTCACGCTCAGCTGCCGCTGCTGCCGCCGCGGCGGCAGCTGCAGCAAGGCTCTGAGTGGAAGCTGGGAGAGGTCAGAACTGTCAGGCATGGTAAAGTGGCAGTTGCAGCTGAGGCAGTCTCTGCAAGAGCTGCCTCTGCGACTTCAGATCCAAGCTCGCTCATGCCTCATAAGCTCGGGGTGACCTCGGGTGTCGGCTGTCGATCTAGGCCAGATGTTGAAGAGCACGTTGAGCTCCCACGGCATGCGACGGGCAAGGCTGTCATGATCATGGCTGTTGGCACAGGGAACCCGACTAGCTCACAAATTCCACCTCCCCCCAAGGTGATTGGAACCAAGGGCCAGCAAATTGCAGAAATTCGTCAGAAAAGCGGTGCGCAGGCCATAGATTACGGAGAAGCGGAGCTGGCTGCAAGTCAAGTCTCGTATGTCATTTGCCGTGATGCAAGGTGGATGTGGACAAGTCTCCTGCCGGCTGCAGGGTGCGCTTTGTAGGAACGCAAAGCCAGGCAAGGTCATGCTAGCCTAAGTCTGGCCCGTACTTCCTTGATCCTCAAAGGTCGATGTGGCAAAGGCCATGATCAATGCAATCATGGTTCCGCCATCTGATTCAGGTGTGTGTGCGCGTGTGAGTGCTGGTGAGTCAAGTTTTGCAAGCAGGGACTCTCTGTTTTCCAAGGCAGTGGGGAGTATTTAGAGATACCTCGAAGCGCTGTGGGCCGTGTAATTGGAGCTGGAGGGGCGCGAATCCAGGCCCAGCGCTCAGTCGGAGGGGGACGCGAAGAAGCACCGAAAGGCTGTCCGAAGTGTTGTTGGACCCAGGAGCTGCAGGAGCGCAGTGGCGCAAAAATTGACATCGACCGGCAGCCTGACCGCTGTTTGGCACCGGCCCTGCCACTCCATTTTTCTCCGCCACGTTATTGGATGCAGTGCTCACTGCTCAATGTGGTCCAAGGTGCGCTTCGGTGGCTTTCCAGAAAGCATACAGCTGGCAAAGACCCTGGTCACTGAGGTACTGGAAGGCTGCTTCATTAAATAGCTACTGAACATGCCTTCCATCCAGTTAGAAAAGCAGAAAGCCTGGGATGACCATCCGCCAGGTTCAATTCAATTTAAGACTCTCAATGGTTGGTGCGTGGTGCAGGCCGAGACAGGACGCAATTGGCAGAAGCAGCAGCCACCATGGAGGTTTCTTAGCCTTGCGCTCACCAGAAAGATTTTCCAGCCCTCACTTACTGCCAGATACCTCCAAATGCCACTGGCCGTTTGATTGGCCCTGGTGGCCGGCAGATAAACGAGATTCAGGACGCAGCTGGTCAGTGTGACTTGTTTTGAGTCCTACATTTGAATCAAAAGCGTGAGTGCCGCATCAGCAAGGCGGGTTGGGGGTTGGGATAAAAACGCTAAGTCGCTGTTGCGGAACTGGCTCCCGGACCTTAGGGGCAGCAATCAACCTAGGACCCCAGGCCAAGCCTCCAAAATGACCAGAACCTTTGGATAACAAAAATGGATCCACCTGGTACATCCTGGGAGGGGGGTCAGGGGGATGGGAACATATCCCTGATGTGGCTCCCTTAGATCTAGACGCCCCAGGCCTCCAACCTCAGTGGATTCATAGAGCTCAGGAGAGGAGCGGCGCGAAGATAGACTTGGACAAGGCATTCTGCGCAAAATCTTCTTCTGTCTTGGCAGTATTTCAGCGCTAGTTGCGCACCAACTGCACAAAAATGGGGAAGAGTCAGGGACGTGATCCATGCATCGTTCGAATGACGGGCTCATCAGATGTAGGTGTCCAAGTTCCAGAAGGCAAGCTTTTTACAGGAAGGGCTCAGATGTGCTTAGCTGAGGCAGTGGCTGTCGCACAGGTGATGATCAGAGAGGCATGTCTAGGATTGCTGTGGAACCTTGAATTCTACAGATTTTGCTTGTGTTTGCATTCTTTCGGCGCGCTCCGGCTCAAAGCATTGACGTTTGATAGTGACCTTCGCGGCGCTGCGGGGCACTGTTGGGCTCCGGGACCAGGCACTCTTGTCTTGGACTTTTTCTTGTTGTCTTTTCAAGGTCTTCGGCCCATGGCGGCCATGAAGGTGCTTTCTCATTTTGCCTTGCCACTGGTGTAGTGCGGTGCATCCCCGGAGTCCCCAAGTCAGTGAGGCTGCACGGCTTGTGCTTGGGCTTGGCGTGCCAAGCCGAGAAGACTCCGCATTTCTCACGGCAACATGCTCCTTGAATGCTACCAGGTCCCAGTGGGTGCCGTCTTTCATCCTCAACCGTTCCGTCCAAATCTCAAGGATACAAGTGATGCACGCTCAAAATCGCCAATCGGTAACGATCTTGAAGGTATTTTCGAAGGTGGAAGCGTGGAGGGTCTACATGCTCCCAACATCAGGCTTCCGGTGCTTTGCTGAAGATGTCTTCACGTAGCTTGTATGGCTTCGTGTTACAGCGAAGCATGCGTCAGGCATTTCCGGCATCGTCAGGACTATCAATTTCAGGACCCGCTAGCTGTGGTAGAAAGGTGCAGACTACTCAACTCATGAAATACGTCTTCCGTAGTAGATCATAACAAATTCATGGCGAAGGGGCTACATAAGTAAACGAGCAGCAAGGTGTCATCTCACATGGAGATGGATATGATGCTGAGACTTTGTATGTTGATGGTTTTTACTGTCGGTGCCAGTGGTTTGCACAACTTGCTACAAATTTCAATATGGTGCTTGTGGCTCAACTTGACCCAAAGCTTTCCTTGGAAGAATATCCAGCCCCGCTGAATTCATGTCTCAAGGTTCAGGGCTAGTAGCAAAATGACTCCATCGGCTTTAATCTATTTCAGCAGCAGAAGTCAAACCTAGCAACCGGCGCCTACGGAGAATTGTAGTTTAGCTCTTCTTTACGAATCCACTCACTTCAATAGCTACACATTGATTTTTGATTGCCACAGTTCCTCATACGATCTTTAGAAGCAAAGCTCAATGTGCTATTACCACGAAAACGCAGTTTTGTGGGACGTTTGCAATCTGTTTGTTTTTTCCATATACTGACACATGCTCGTAGCATCGTAGCAATCCATACTTAGCACCACCATTGATTTGCATGTCGTTCCTTGCGAAGGGCCGCAGAATCAAAGCCAGGATGGCAGCGACCTATCGCTTCACTGGGATGTGGACGCAGATCCTGATGCTTTGTTGGACCGATGTTTGCCACTCTCTCGTGGTCTTGCCAGCAAGCAAGAATTCCAGGAGTTAGACCTCGAACACCCAAGAGGTGTCAGAATAGTTGAGTGCGGCCATGACCACTTGGTGCTGCAGGCACTGCAGGGCACTGCTCTTCCCAAATTCGCTTAGCCGTTTGTTCTTGGACAGGTTCCAAAGGACATCTTGCAGCGGCTGGATAAGTTGGAGCACGTCACTGCTTCTCACATGCTGCATCCCTGCCCAGAGCTCTGAACATTCCTCGAGAAGACTTGACCAGTCGCAGTCCAGTCGCGTGAATGCTTCATGAAGTAGGCCGGCACTTGGTGGAAAGAAATCTCTACCATCGAATTCGAAAAGTGCACAAGGCAGAGCAACAGCCATCGCACCAATTGCTCGATTGATATCTTTGTGATGCCAGGTTTCTTCGCTGGACCTCAGCTCTGCGCTTGTAGAACTTCATACTCAGGATTGCTGACTAAACTAGGACTGGCTTGGAATTTGCTTGCATTGGCGCCTTGAAGGAGCTAGCCACGGCTCAAGAAGTATTCCGTTCTTGTAGGTGGGTGGCTGGAAGTCATGTTGCAGACTGCAGCGAGCAGGAGCTATTGCGTTGTGCAGGTTCCACATCCACATCATGCCGGCCGGGGCAAAGGACCCACAGGTCTTGCAGCACGAATTGAGGCCAGATGAGCATGCTGTTGAACTTGTCTTACATGCCTACTGCTCAGGGCAAGGTCTAAGAATCGTCGCGGCGATCTCGGGGCACGTTGCGTGTGATTGCTTGGGAAGACCAAGTATTCCTGGCAGCAAGGTCTTTCTGCTTCATTTTTGGACTTGGTGCGAGATGGCGTCAACAGCATCGGCGAGATGCATGGCCTTCGCCTTGGTTTTGACAGGCCGCACCCTCAAGTGATCTGTTTCGCACAGCATTGCGCGAGGTGAGCCACTGGTGCCCAGCTTCAAATTCCAACCTGAGAAGACAAATGACGTGCAGGCATGAGATGGCACGAGCTGCTCGTACGGCTCATGATCATCTTGCAGAGTTGTCCAGGACAATACTTTCTTCAACTTGAACAATCCGACCGAGAAGGACAAATTCAGATGGAACTGGACGTATGAGGCATGGCTACAGTTCGCGTCGTGTTTGCAATCATGCTTCTGGCATTCCAGGCCAACAGCACCAAGAATCCGCAGTACAAGTACACTTTTCCCGGCGGAAAAGCATGGCTGAGGCATTCTCGATCAAGAGGTATAAGTTCACAATGCACAAGGAACAAGTTTGACCTGAAGGCTCTTCAAGCCCAAGGTGCACGCATGGTTGGGGTTCACAATGAACTTGAGCAGCCACCTGCCAGATATCACGCAAGCGTGGGAGCCTGAGTGTCCACTCAAAGAGTGTTGTGTTAGGTCAGCTTCATGCTCAATGCTCTATGTTGCCACCTAGGCCACATGAGACAGTGGACATTCTTGTCCAGAGTCCGCCTAGCACAGTGCAATCTGGCCAAGAGTTCAGAGTCTGGCATGTGCAATGCGTGTTGAGGTTTTGCAGACTTGGATCTAGACATTGGGACCGCGGCAGACTTTGACAAAGACAGGTGCGTATTCATTCGGGATCACGTGAATTTCAGCGTGTACTCCTGAACTGACCAGATCTTCGTCGGTGCTTCACAACATGTTGGACGTTTTTCCCATTCCGATCCTCAGCAAGCTGAAGCCTTTGCCCCAGCGCAATAGCGCGTTAGGCTCACACAAACTGAAACAGATCCTGCCAGGACGGATACTGCAATGTTTATGCGGCCTTTTACCTTCCATATAGGCAGCGTTGCTGCTTTTCAACTGGGATTCTGCTGTCTGAGAGTTGTTCGGTTTGCTGCAGGTGGCACGCCAGTCACCGTCACCCCGGGATGGAGCATCAACATGAAGGCTGCCAGTCGACTTGTCCTTGCAGAGACCATAGAAACCACGATTTGTATCATGCCTGTGAGATCTTCCACATTGGAAAGCTGAAGGGCACAATGCGAGTTGGCCAGGAAGTGCAGCGTCAACGTTGTGTAAATGAAAGCCCCAGCAGAGTCAAGGCTTAGAGACGAAGCTGCTTTGCCGTGGGACCATGCACTTCGACACGGCACGTACCCCAGCCTGGGAACGCCTGGGAACCACGGCAAAGCCTTTGTCCCAGACCTTTGGCGAGCAGCACAACTTCTCTGTGGAGATGAGGAATGTCAGGAGCCTGTCTTATGCGCAAGCACACGCGCTGTCTGGAAACACGTCCACACATTTTTGTAACATGCGAAACTTGTTTCTTCCTTTCTCCTCGATGATTGATGATTGCTTGTTCTGGCTCATGAAAATGTTGTCAAGCGCAGCTAAGGTCAACTTCACTTCGCCTGCGTGGCTGCTATTCACAAAGCATTTCCAGTCATGTACCCAGTTCGCAGCACGTGCTCATCACTTGGCACCCTTGTCTAGTTGTGCGGCATGCGTCGATATTTGCATGATTTGCTTTGTTTATATGGGCAGGCATGTCGTGCAAGATGTAGAGCTTCTCCTGCAACAGGCTGGGAGTGGAATTTGAGCCGAATGCGCCGGACTCAGGGTTGGTGGATCTTGCAAGGTGGATCTTTGATGCCTGCTCTACCAAGATATGGGTGAAGGGCGGTTTCGGGATACTGCACGATGTGGAGATGGGCTTCGGCTTGAGGCAGTGTTTGTCTCTAGCATCTTGGAGTCTCTTAGAGTCAGCGCGCTTTTGTTCAGGCCATATTTCAACATGAGCATCATGGAGGACATGGGGGATGGGCCTTCTCCTCAAGCTGGAGTCAACACATTGCTGGCTCCGCGCCGCAGTGTCCCAAGGTCTGAGACCAACGAGCTGGCCATATATCCATATCGTGTTGTTGGCGATGAGCTCAGAATTGAATTTGTTGTGCAGAAAACGAGACATGCAGGATGATGCCCTTTTTTGAGTTTCTTTTGTCGCGCATTCAGCAACTAATTGTCCTTTCCAATTTTGCGATGGCTCTGCGTGCAGCTACTTAGACTTACACAGTTTCCATGGTTGCGAACCGAACCGGATGGAGCCACGTCATGCTTGCTGAATGCCCGATGCGTTGAGAGCATCGATCAGCAGAAGGGTACGGCTCGTGCCGCTACAGAACTCAGGTCAACAACGGAGGCTCTTCAAATGTATGGCCTAGTGTCTAGTAGACACTGCAGCAGAAGTTTAGTCTTCCGGCACTGGCAGCCAGGCTCCTGAGGTCAGAGGTACTGATGCCAGCGCTAAGAGAACACATTGCCATGTGGGCGCTGTTCTGGAACCGTTCTAAGCTTTTTAAATAGGGAATCCTCAGACAGAAGCGCGCACACGGTGCCTACCAGCAAGGCCCAAGCATCACGCAAGCGCCGTGTGCAGGTTATGGTCTTTCAAAGTGAGACCAACCAACATTTTAGCGAGACTGCGCGTGCAAGCTTGTGCAAGCTTGTGCAAGCTTGTGCAAGCTTGTGCAAGCGCGGCCCAATGACCTGAAACTGGGAAAGCGAATTTAGAGTTTCCACAACCTCCACGTGGCCTTCGTACACGGGCGGTCCGATATTCTGTAGTAGTTTGTGGGTGGAGCCAAGGCCTGCCGCTAGGAAGCTGCTTCGCTCTCAAAATCAGCAGGAGACTCAGAAGCTTCGAATGAAGCCGACAGAGCTTCAGCATGCAAGATTGATTGTACTCGAGGTGCCAACGGACAATACAAGATCACGCCATGCCGGCCTTTTTTTGCATTATTGGCCGTTGGAACACACGATTGTACTGCGATCTGGGCAGGGCCTGCCAGTTAAGCATCGGTGGTGTCATTCGCTTCCAGAACAAAGTAGAGGCACACAAGTGATATCTGCAGCTGAATCTATTTCATTTAGGATATCATGTGCCAACACTTAAAGTTGTACAGCTCTTGGCCATGGGACTTTGAAAGAGATTTACGAGCATGTGCCCTCCCAACTGCGCATGTGGCGAACGCTACCCGCGGGCAGTTCTGGTGTAGTATCCGTTGCTGAGATCTTCGAGTTTGGCCCGACATCGCTGAAACGGCTTCTGGCAGATCCAATCAAGGCAGGGTGGTGTAGGCTTTGAAGCAATCTATCTACAGTTGCTACTGCAAGCACAGTCTTGAGGTGGATATCCTGAAGGATGGTAAGGTGGCCTCTTGTAAATGTTGCCGCTTTGCTCAGCGGCTAAGCCTGCATACTGGGCAGCTTCAGAGGATGCTGTTGCGACTGGTGAAGTTGCCCGGGGCTTGGAATTTTTGCTCCAATTCCTGTCTTAGCGCGACATCTGCAGGTGAGGTGATGTCAAACTTTCTCTGAATGTTAGCTATTCAAGCACATAGTGGAGTTGGGCGCGTGTGCTACCACATGTATCGCGCACAACGAAGGCGTGCGTCCAGGCCGTATGTATTCTTGCTGATGTTGCTAGACAGCTTTGCTAGCCCACCTGCCAGGCCCAGACACCAGCACACTTAACTTTTTCAGTGTTGCGTTTGCTGCAAGTTTCAGCGGTGACATGGCTTGCTTAGTAAGCGTGTCTCCATGATTCACGCCACAGTCAGGGTGCCGGTGAGCATGGCTCAGGTATGTCACCAAGTTGAAAGTGGAAGGCCTCCCATCCACCAAAACTGGTGATTTTGATTCAAGCAGAAGGGGCAGTTTAGGCGTTCCAGGTGCCAACCACATCCAACGGAAGTTCGTATGGTGGTTGACGGTCAGGCCAGAGTCAAAATAGGTCGGGTGGGTTTGGGGTGTAGGATTGTTTCGCTGACTCCAGGAGGTGGTGGCGCATTTGGGCATCTACTTTCAGGTGGGCTTCTGAATTGTTGGGAACCCTCTGCAGACACCACTTGACAGGCCAATGCCTTGGGCGAGCTGGAAGTGAACATGCAGAGCATTAGCGTACGAGTTCCCATGTTCACGCTCCATGGTGCCGCGCGCGCCTTGGCACAAATTGTGTGACTGTTCATGACTTCAGCTTTTCCACAGGAGAAGCAGGAACAGATGGTAGCCGATAAAGAGGCCGTCACACACGGGATTCTTCAAGCATTTGTGGGTTCATGGTGTGACGCTGCAGTCACAACCTTACACAGTTTGCCATGCAGTTTGATGCTGCTGCTCTACACCTATCTTGCAGAAGAAACATTTTTTTCAATGTTCTATACTCGTGTGTGGAAGGTTTGCTGCCATGTTTCTCCGTAAGCTTCGTCGCCGTGCAGCAGTTTCTTTCTTCACTAAGCCCCGTGTTCCATGTTGCCTTCTACCTTATCTCTTCATTGAATGCTGTCTTGCAGCTGACTCACAATCAAAGCCTTAGCTCAGATTGAGTGTAGAGCGCATTTCCATTTCCAACTGACTCTCCATTTGGACGTGGGCACTCGATTTGGTATTGCCGTGTGCTGCCGTATGGATTGAGTGGTCTCATGTGTGGTCGGGGTTTCGATTGTACCACAACCTGTAATAAGTTGCCCATGCAGACGCAGTCCTTGCTCGTGTTTGCTCGTGTTTGCTCGTTCAGAATCGCAAGAACTTGAAGCTCTGCCTCTGCCACAACGGACGTGAGCTCTGCTGGGAACCTAGATCTTTGCTCCATCTTCACAATGCAGACTTGCAGCTTCTACCAGGCTTCCCTCTGGATGCGAAGTCGAGTTCTTATGTTTTTCAATCTTTTCACATGAGCGTTCGCGTTTGCATGGTTAGGTATTTGCGTCCTTCTCTGTAATCTACATGCAGGATCCACGTCCATTCGTGCTGGGAGAGTTCTCGAGGTTTCCCGGTGAGAATCAGCTGTTTACCAGCAAAGCCATCTATGAATTGGGTCCGGTGTTCACAGCTCTGGGCCAAGCTGTGTCTAAACGGCTTAGCTGTATGACAGTGTGCCGCCGCTCAGGAGCTCTGGAAGACAAAGCCGCTGGGAGCCATGTCGAAGAGTCAAACTCCCAACGAAGCAAGGCCTAGAACACATCTAGCTTCAACTCAGTCCGATGAGCTTTTTTGGGTCTGGCAGGCTGCAGAACACGCTAGAGATCCGCGGCGCAAATGGCGTAGTCATATGCAGGGGTGTGATGCTCCAGACGCAAGTTCAAGAGGTGCCACGAATTTCATTTTGAATCTTCTGGGTGGATGATCTTTCGCTAGCAGGAGAAGCCTATCAAGAACCTTGAGGACTTGGAAAGTGAACGCCAGTTCTGCTCTCAGATCATATTGTTAGTATGATGTGGCGGAGCAAATTTGTAGAGAAGCTTGTGCTGGACATGCTGGTGGCTGGGACGCTTGACTACACGTGCCTCCTTTTTGACGTAGAACGGGTCTCGAACGAATCTGAACATCAACACGTCATGATGGCTTCAAGGGAGTAGATCCAGAAACAGAGTCCGTCTGCGACTGTGCAGGATGCCATTTCCATTTTCCACCTGACACAGCCGCATGCAAAATCTGTGCCTGTTTGAAGCTCCTGTGCAAGGGAAGCCATGGAAACGCTGCCGACACAAGTCTGGAGCCAAGATGCCATTTCAGCCAAGCCCTGAAGCCGCTCCAAGATTGCACGGATGGGCCTGGAAATGTGAACAACCACCATACCTGTAACAGCTGCAAGCCATGAGACTAATCCTCGTGCAACGCATAGCTCAGAAGTGGAGCTCACAGAAACCACATCTGATATGTGGGGAAGTGCAAAGCTGATGGAGCAGTCTCCAGCTTCCATGGATCCTGCCTCAGTCCGTTCTTGCGAACTGAATGAGGTCATGCTCGTAGATCCGGAGAATCCTTCCAAGATGGCGTGCAGCTCGGAACCATGGGGCAACAGTGCTTTGTTTCTCGGGGCACAGAGTTAGCATGAATTCTGGCAGAGCTTGCTGTCGCCAGTCAAAGCCAATACGCTGTGTGCACGGCTTAGGTTTTCTTAGGCATGCTACAGATCACCTGCAAGCTTCTGGTTAGCCAGCAACTCCACAGATCTCAACAGCAGCAAATAAAGTTACCAGCTTCCACGTCTAGCACACGGAGGAACGCAAAGCTCAATGAAAGTCAAACATGTTAAGCTGCCAGCAAAAAGAAAAGAACGCTTGTGCGATAGGCAGCACCGGTTCCGGGATTGCAGTGACGATTTCTGTTGCGAGGCGCGAAAAGCTAGTTGGTGAGGAAATGTGAGAGCCCATTGGAAGAACCTAGGACATCTGAAATGGACCCGGACACCGGAGAACCATCCCCCAAAAAGCGACGTTCCAGGATTCCATCTGTTGACGTCAACGACTCTGATTTGGCGGGCATGATGCGGCGTTACAACTTCAGCCCAGCCAGCTGGTTCCCACGAACCTGGTTGAGATCTCCCGATGCCTCATTGAGCATAGATGCCCATGATCTTACAGAAATGATGGTAAAGGGAATGTCAAACATGGATGCGTCCCCAGTGCAAACAAAGAAATCGCAACTGGTTCAAAGCCCCACTTGCTTACAGCAATGGCAAGCAAAGTTTCGAGCCAACATGACCGCATGTTTGGCACAGCCTGGTTGGAACGCTAGGCTTGCGCAGCACTAGGACCGGGATAGGGGTTAAACACAAACTTTGTAAGCATCAAAACATTTTTAAGTATCAAAAAACCTTATGGCCTATTTCCTGGGGAGTACACCAATCCGGCAGGGTCGCGAGAAGGAAGGAAGGAATGCGGGAAGGAAGGAAGGAAGCAAGGAAGCAAGGAAGGAAGGATTGCTCATCATGTTTCATCAGTTTTCATAATTTTCATGATCGTTTTCATCCATGAAAGTCAATGATTTTCTTTCAATTTTCCAATGTTTTCATCATTTTCCAGGGTTGTTCCTTCATGTTCATGATTTTTTGTTACTCTTTCGTGGTGATTCATGGTTTTGCATGGTTTGTCAGTAATCTTTCATGAGTTTCATAGATTTGTTATTACGTTATTACGTTTCATTTCATCACTGTGATGATTTCTCACGTCATTTTTTTCAGGATTTCCATGTTTGTTTCATCGTTTTCCGTCGTATTTCATGGATTTCAGAATCTTGCATCGTTTTCATGATTCTTCATGATTTTTCATCATGATTCTTTGAGATTCTTATATTTTCATCATTCCCATCTCTGTCGATGATGTTCATCCTCCGCTCATCATTGCTCACATCACATTGCCAAATTAACGTGGCGGAAGAAAGCACATACTGTATCCTAATCTTTGTCCAGGTTTTGCAATTGGAGGGGCTGCGCTCCCCCCCCAACCCCCCGTTATTTTACAAAGCACGTTCGCGCAAGCATTTGTCATCATAATTCACTTTTCAACATGACTTTTCATCAGTTTCCTCTTTGTCTATTCGTCGTTTTCAGGTTTTTCCACATTTTTGGCAATTTCCATGTTTTTCTACAACTTTTCGTTGTTTTTGAGTTTTTTCCATGATTTTCATGACTTTTCATGATTTTCATGTTGTTTCATCATGGGTCACCATTTATCATAATTCATCATTACTATTTCTATGATATTCTCATCGTGTCACCATGTTTCTTCATTCATCATTTTGCATCATTTCTCCTTTTTTCATTTTCATACGGGTCATATTTCATTGTTGTCATGATTTTTCATCATTTTCATTATTTACATTATGATTCATTATTTGCATGGTTTTTCATGGCTTTTCATTTTCATAATGTTTCACAATTTTTCAATATATGTTCATTATTTCCATGCTTGTCTCGTTGTTTTCATCACGCTTCTGGTTTATCATCCTTTTTCCATCATTTCTCATTTACTGTCTAGGGGCTTTAGGAGGGACCCTTAGTGGGGACCCTTGTAGCTTATTGGGGGTAATCTGGGTACTACCTGAGTATATAGGGGGTATATAAGGCCTATATAAAGGTTATATAAGGTAATGGGATTAGGGGTTCCCTTCTAGGGGTCCCTCCTTACAACCTTTGATCATGTTTCATAAGTTGTCATTGACCATGATTTCTGCTCACTTTTCATTATTTTGATATTTTTGCATTTTTTGCACTACTTACATTTTTTCCATTTTTCATCATTTGCTCATCTTTTCAGTTGTTTCATCATTTACATGCTTTCCATTTTCTTCATTAACCACGTCCTGGCCCCTATTAAATTTAGTACAAAAGTTTTTTTGATGCTTAGCAGCAAGTTTTTTTTTCATGCGCTGGGCGTATGTGATGTGATGCTTAAACTTTTTATCATCCCTCACCCACTAGGAAACCCGGCAAACTCGCATCTGAAATGGAGCGAGCTGGACCCCCATCGCAAAAAATGATCGCTTGTCGGATGTGAATTTGACATTTGAGTGAGTCAGCTTGGCGTGTAGGCGACATTTTGTTTTCTCCTAGTGGCCATGGCAAATATGATTGAATGCGCCTGCGTCAGTGCAAGGTGGGCTCCTGTCAGATTGAGATAGACATCATGCCAGTGGAGTACGGAGCGTACTGGGTCCAACCATTTGAGGTCGCGGCAGTGTTGTAGTTGTAGTCATGGCATGCCCACAAGCACTTGCAAGCAGGCCGACAGATTTGTGGTGGGGCTGTCCTACACATTTGCTTGGGCCACTCATGGGGCGGTTGTTGCCCTAGTGCGAAAAAAGGAGGCCTGTAATCCTGGCCTATCAACTTGTCCCAAGGTTGCAGGGAGCTACTACAGCTTCACAATCGCCCTTCACGAGGAGCGGGTGTTGTGCACTACACTTCGTTTCACTCCTGTGGCATCCAGGTCGAAGGGGACAAATGTGCAAGCCATGGAGAGAAGTTTTGGAGTGAAGACATCGAGGCTTGCAGCAACATGTGGACAGGCCAGATATTCACCCAAATTGTCAGCACAGAGAGCAGGTGCAATGCAGCACAGACCCACGGGTCTTGTGCACAGAATGCGGATGGCTTGCGCAAAGACAAAAAGGGGTTGTCAGTTGGCGCTCTCCGCAAGTAGTGCATGCAAGCTTAGGTCAAGGTTCATCGCTATCATGGTGGTCACTTGCCATGTGTCTTCGAGAGACAGGCGGATGGTTTGGAACCCGCGTGACGTCAAAAGGCCATGCTAGCTGATACCCAAAATGCTGCAGGTGGTTTGCCCGCAGGAAGCGGCAGGAAAGGCTGTCGTTGACTGGTGCTCAGCATTTACGTGCTAGTCAAAGTCATAGTCTGTCGTACTGACAAGTTCTCGTTTTGCAAAGTTAGGTTTCATGAGTTAGGAGCACAGGTCAGACTCCTCCACGTTCGAAGAATTCCATGACAGTTTTTTTGGGTGTGTGCAGTGCTGTTTATCAATCTCCTTCATTGGCTGTGAAGTCCTAACTTTGTCAGCTTCAGCATGAGCACCAGGCAAAGAAGTGCCAAGATATTGTTTTGACTCTGACAGACAGACCAATGAGAGGCCCCAACGGTGTAAGTCTGAAGTCTCACCCTAGCTGTAGGTAAGCGGAAGCAGGATCACTCCGATCAACAACATCTCGTAATCGACTACACTTGCAACCAACTCCTGCTTATGTTTGTAGCTTAGAACCCTATGTCATCCTTGGTGACGGGCTGTCCAATTGCTCATCACCATTGCTTGCAACGGTGTGATGCACATTTTTAATCCTACACGCTCTTTTTCGCTTTTGGAGCCCTGGCTTTGCCCATGATGCATTGTAAGGCTTTGGTGACCTGGCATGATGCAATGGACTTGCCACACTACATGGTCCGAGACGCAGCCTTGCATACTGGCAGTATCGGTTTGCGGCATCATTCCCTGCGGGTTGTTCGAAGGCTTCCAATGCTTTCTTCTGCGACCACAACAATGGGCGCCGCCTCAATGTTACTGCAGAAGAGGCTCTTGCACCCATAGCTTTGCTTTGGCTGTGCACATGCGGCGTTTGCAAAGCTGACAGGCTGCCGCCCAGGTTATCAGAAATGCTTGATCCTTATCTGGCCACACAGCCTATCATGTCAGAAATGGATGCATCCAGGCAGACGGAATGCAATTGCATGCGCATGCGACCGAGGATGAAAAAGTAGGCTTTGGCTTCGAATCGCAAGGTCACAAAGAAGGTCTTAGTCTCAAGGCTTCGAGTTAGATTGATTGTGTGATGTCGCTTATGCACAGTCCTGACGTTCCTCGTTCGTTTGGCCTTCTCTGCGCAGGCTCAAGAGGCCTTTCGTGATCTGGCGAAGCACTGTCATGAAAAGCCGTTGAAGTGCCCGACTTGTTTCCCAATTTTGCTGCTTTGGTGCATCTACTTTTGCTGGGAGGTATAGCATTGGAGCGGGCATCAACTACATCCAGCTCGTGAAGAACATCCCATACGCAGGAGGAGGTATGGGGGCAATGGGTGCGGCCCCTACAAGGCCAACCCCACACCCAGCGGAGCAAGATGATTTTTCTTTGCAGAGCCATGCCAGAGTGTCATTTGCTTGCAGGTCACGACGATAAATCAGGCATCATGTCCGGTCATTTCACACCGGATGGCGGCTACATCTCCAATCCGTATACGCTTTGGCGTTTGGGGTTTGCGCCTTAGACGTGATGTGGAATGAGGAGGCTAGTGCATGCCTCAAGTAGGTGATGAGAGCTGAGGCAAGATGACGAGCACCGTAAACGTTTGAGCGACTTGCTCCCCGAAAGTGCCTGACACCCATCGTTCTGCATTTCTTGCAGTGCAATGCAGTTGACGTGTGCTTGAGAATCTTCAAAATTTTCTGGTTGCAGTGCATTTGGGTTGAGAATCTTGCAAGACAACAGGAGAGGGACTGAGCTGGTCGCAGACCCAAAAACTTCCTGGTGTAGACTAGTGTAGACCATTGAAATACACTTGGAAGAGGCTTGCTGAACGTGTGCAGATCATAAAGTGCAAGATTTAGCATCCTCAGCATGCGACATTTTGCAAACTTCTTAGTGAAGCACGACGTTTCCGAGATTGCCAGCTGTCGTTAGCTGCCGTGAACTGTTCCCTTCATGTTCAGCTGTCCCACTGCAATTGGGATCTACATTGGGCTCCTGTACAAAAGTCCTGGAACAAACGCTTGTATTTGTTTCTGCTAGGAGCAAGTTGTCATCCACCTTTGGTTTCAAAGAGCATCATTGGAGGGCAAGTCCCGAACTGACCTGATGAAGCATCCTGACCTCTTTGCTGACCGATTTGCAATGCATGGATGGAACACCATTCACAAGACCATCGCAGATTGCGGGTCGGCTGAAGACGAAGTTGCACCACTCGCCGAAAGTTCCTGGCGATCATACATTGCAGCAGCTTTGTTCCGGAGGCTCGAGTGATCCCGCCGGGGGTTGCCCCCGAGAGTTTGCAGTCTTACTTTTTACCACTTTCACAGCGCAGCTTAGCACGCTCGATATCACATGAGCGTGGGTTGGTTCTGTTCCATGTCGGCATCGGGAGATCGATAAGTTAGGTTTTCCCCTGCAGCCATGTCGACAGCTCCGGCAGCCGAAGCAGCTGTTGAACCGCCTCCAGTACAACCTGTGCAGCCGTCTGTCACAACAATCCTGCAGATTTCCCAAGACGTGCGATGGGATAAAAATTACGAATGGAAAGACTTATATACACGAGGAAGACAGATGGAACCACGCAGGAAATCCCCAATGATGTGTGTGGAGCTATGGTAGGACAACATTATTCCAAAGGATGAGCTTCCTCTTCAGGGTACACAGGACTTGCTTCAACTAAAAAAGAAGATTCAGAAGTTGAATGGGGAGATATGGACCCAGAAGCAGCAAGACACCTCCAGGGTGAGATGATGAAAGCTTACAAGGCTTTAAAGATCCCTGCAAACCAGCGGCTAGACACCACCACTCATACTTTGAGGCTACCCCACATGGCTCTCTCCCTCCTCCTTTTTGTGAACCCTCCTTGCCAGAATCAGTTACAGTAGATAATCTGAAGCAAATCATTACACAGTACCATGAACAAACAGTACGGCCCTCCATGGAACTTGCTTCCAATCACGTTAGGCATGAGATCACTTGAAAGCTTGGATCTTGAGATGCCCAGAGGATTCAGCCAAGCGTGCATCTCGCAAAAGACCGCCTTCTGATGAGGCAGCCTCTGGCCCTGACAGCCCTTCTGGTTCATCTTCAGGCTCAGACTCCAGTGACAGCAGCTCGCAACCCTCTAGCAGTGCATCGTACCTGCAAATCACAGCTTCAGGCATGTGCTTGTGCCAGCAAGAGCCAATAACCATTGCGCGCGTGTGCGCAACCAGCAATACTGTTGTTTCTGTGCCATTGACCATAGTGAAAGCTTGAAGTTTGTGGCTTGTGTGTGCAAAAGTGAAGAGGTTGTGTCAGATTGTGTGTCAGAAAATCAAAGCAATTCCCTGCCTTGAGATATCAATTTCTCAATATTTATGTTGGCAGTCAAAAATAATGAGTGTGCTGAGAACCACCATGGTTGAGGATTTTCCTGAGGCCCTCCGAGCTCCTCCCCTCCGAAGTCAGCCCCCGAAGTCCTCCGAAGTCCTCCGAGAGTGGTCCAAAGCCCTGAAAAGCTTGAAATATCCTAGAACATTTTCCAGGGTCTCAGAAAATCCAATTGTATTTTTTGGGGGCATGGATTTATGTCTTTGAGCTACAAAAGGTTTGACTTGGCCGATTACAACGTGTATCTGATGTTTCAGGCTTGGATGTGTCTATGTTGCAAAGAAAAGCGTGCGATTGAGGCTGAATCAGCTGAAAGCCAGTGCCTTGAAGTCCTTTCTGCTTGCTGTTGATCTAACTAAGCTTGGGTGAGCATTGTTGGAAGGATGTGGTGCAAGCTAGGGCTCTGCAACTCAGAGGCTCAACCTTAGAGGGGCAATTGCGATTTTGGGACCATGAAAGTTGAAGGTGCGCTGTCACAAGGTCCAACAACCTAGCAGGTATGTCTGTAGAAGGTATACAGCTAGGCATGAACAGATAGTCAGCCTCTCCAGGTGTTGCACCATTAAAGTTGAGGTTGTGATTTGTGCGCCTGTAGATCCATGGAGGCGGATGCAGAGACTTTGCCAAGTGTTGCAGCGCCAGCAGGTGCAAGTGCCAAGGCTGCGCCCAGCAGCTTTGAAGAGGTGATTGCGTGGCCAGACGTATTTGCGAGAGATTTGTTTTCGCACAATGTATCAAATGTTTCGGCCAGACTCAGGCAGCCTCTGTTGCTTACAACGCATTACTCAGGCATACGTTCTGCAGAGCTTTGCGTTAGAATGCTGCAGGAAAGATTCAAGACAAATTGGGCAAGATTGTATAGCGCTGGGCCTCTGCCTTGCAATCAGCAATATACTCCTGCACGCGCTGCGTAGCCATTTCAGCACTGAGCGCATCCATTGTCTTGGGATCGTCATCATCGCCAGAAGCGAGGTCGTTCTCGCTCTCTTTCTTCTTCTCGGGGCTGGACTAGCAGGAAAATTTCACGCCCATCTGCCATGGCTAAGGACTTGAAAGGTGCGGTTCTTAGTGCCAACCAGAGAAAGCAGCAGTTGCAAGAGGCCCTGTCTTCACGGGCGAACCGTGACAAGGTCGAGAACATTTTCCGGTTCATCGAGGGGGAGGGCCTCGGTGTGACGCAGATCCCTGTCGGCAAGATGAATAGTGAGGCCAATAACATCAAGTTCCCTTGTGACCAATGTTCCGCGGTTCCGCGAGGTGCAAAATGTTCTTAAGGACTTCCAGTTGGAGTTCGAGAGCTCCGCTTTGCGTGCGTCAGTTGCCCAGAAACAGTGCTGCTGATGCGAACATTTCCACAAAGGCTGAGGAAAGCTTGTTCAACAAGATCTTCCCCGCGTCCATGAAGGTGCCCCTGCAGAAGTTCAATACTGATACCACGGCCACAATGCTGTTGCAGTGCTTCGGTTTCGCAAAGAACACATTCACTGTGGTTCCCGAACGAGGGCGTCTTCCCACCGTGAGCATAGCTTTGCAGGTTCCGCCATGCATGTGTTGGTTCCCATGGTTCCCCTCTTGGCAGTCTTCGCAAAAGAAAATGGGGATGCAAGGGTCAGCTTGAACGATGTGTGCCTGAAGTTGAAGGGAATCTCCCAGGAAGCCTTCGGCAGGTTTTTGATAAGCCTCGAGCCCGGTCAAGAAGTCATTTTTGCCGCCCATGACCTGCTCTTCACGCCTCCTGGGTGGCTCTCGATGGGTGCTGTCAACAAGGATGACTGCCTGGGTGTCAAGATCAAGGCGATCAAGGCCCCGCTGACGCAGTGTGTTGACAACATGAAAGCTTTGCAAAAGGTTCTTGAGGTGCAACAGTCCGCTAGCCCAGCACTGGATGCCCTTCTTTCACAACGTGCGCCTGCCTCAGCAGAAAGCTGAGGTGACAAGGCTGAACGTACCGCTGTTTTTTGCGCAGCATCTCGACTGGGGTCGTGTGAAAACATTCCTGAGTCATCTACTGCGCTTCTGGCTTGCGACGTGTTGAGTTCAGTCATGTGATGCTGCGACATGTTCAGTTCCGTCAGTTGTTCATCCAAACATGCGTTCCAGGCACGTGCCCATTGCAGCTTTGAGACATGCAAACATGGGGCATGGGTAAGCAGAATCAATTTGGGAATGCGGTGGAAGGTGGGTGGGAACCTGTGAACAAACCTCGGGATCATGGATGTGTTCACGGGTGAAATTCTTGACCACTTGGCCATAACGTTCAAATTCCAAGCCTTTGCGTGAGCAATAGAGCATGAAGCACCACATGTGCTGCCATAGATTTCCCATGTTTGAAAACCCAAGCCATTCCCGCTTTATGTTTAAGCCATTGCCACTGACTGCTATCATGAAGATTTGGACTCTCCGAGTTTCTTCCGTTGCCCCACGGATGTGACCTGAGTGTGAAATCATTTGGGTATTTGAAACATTTGATGTTTTCCTGCTTCCCAAACCTGGTTGTGCCAACTGTCAAAATCTTTGAGTTGTCAATGCCAGCCTCGTGTCGTATCCGCTCGTCAGGCGTGGCCTACAGGTCATGGCGAGGTTCGGCATTTCATTATTTTTTTGCAGGCGCTCCCTCAATACCTTTGAAAATTCAGGTTTGTCTTATTGAGGCGTGTGTGTGCCAGGCTTCTCAAGTTGGTTTTGTGTGTGTGGGAGAGGGTGGGTGGGCCATGGGTTGATTGAGGAAGGGCTTGCGCATGTGGAAATGCAGAAGCAAGTAGTAACTAATTCAACTTACAATTTCGTGCCATGCAACATGCTCTTGTTTTTCAGCTTTCCTGATTATTTGAATGGCTATTTGAAACAGTTTGGCAACCTCGACCCAATGGATCAAGTTTGAAAACACGGTTTCACGTGTTCTGGTTATTTGTCTAAAGTTTACCCTGGCTTGGATTTTGGTTTCACCGGTTTCTTTGTTTTTAGTTTGGAGAAGCTGTTGTGCGTGCCAACAGTGTTGAAAACATGCTGGGACATATTTTCATCCCAAAGTGCAATAACACCGCGGTACCGATGAGCTTTGCCACAGCTCAGTCCAAGAGTGGACAATCCCGAGGCGGCAAATGAACGGGAGGCCAAGACACAGCAGGTCATGAACTCCAGGCCAGCGCCAATTATTTGAGGGAAACATGTGATGTGAAGCAGGCGGTGAAAGCAGGCCATTATCTTGTTGAGAAGGCCGTGACACACTACATGCTCCGCGAGGAGGCTTACCTGGCAGCCGGGCGGGGTGAGCAAGTCCGAGTTCCTCTTCGGCTTCAAGCGAAACGTCTTCGACGACAGGTGCCAGGCCATGGCTGCCCGGGCAAACAAGAAGAAGGCCCGTAAGGAGTTGAAGTTGTCCGACGTCGTCGCCAAGACCCAGGAGCTCTTCGCCGGACCCAGAGGCTGTGACGAGAGCGAGAGTGGAAAGTCTGGCTTAGCGAAGCAGCCTGTGAAGTGTTGGGCCTGGAGAGAAGCCGGAGGGTTCGGAGCGAGAAGCCAGAGCCAGCTAGTGATCCCAACGCGATGGGTTCGCAGCAACAAGCATGATGGGCTTGTTGGAAAGGAGTTCCTTGGCAAGTCAAGACTTATTGTCCAAAGGATTCAAGGACCGTTCTCTTGGGCAGTGCCGGCAAGGCACCCCAACGGCCTCGGCAGTGGCGGAGAGTTTATGCCTGGCAGTCTGATTTCGAATTCTTGCTGTTTGCGCAGGATACACAGATGCGTATTCAGTGGCAAGGAGGGTGGCCGCGAGATTTACCGTGAACCTCCTCGAGGTGGACTCCCTGGACTTCGACCAGGGCATTGATCTACGGCTTCGCGGAGGCGGCAAGACAGGCTCTGAAAGAGCATTTGGAAGCAGATGGATGGGAAGAGAGTCGGTTGGAGCACGCCCTCTTCTACTACCGAGTGAGACATCGGCTGAAGGGCATTCTTGTCACTCATGTTGATGATCTTGAAAGCGGTGGCGGTGTCCATCCCGATTTCGTGACCAAGGCTTTCGAGAAGTCGATTTCTGCTTTTGAGTTTGCAGCAAATCATTACGCGGACGTGAGGTCAAGCGGACGTCGGCCAAGCACGTTGATGTCATGATCAGGAATTACGCCTTGTCAATGCGGACAGTCCCCGTTCAAAGTAATCGGCGAGCTCACCTGACAGCAGAGCTGAGCGAAGCAGAGATGGAAGTCTACTAGAGTTCTTCTGGAGAGCTTGGGTGGCTGTCGAGACAGCTGTGACGCGATTTGGCATACGAGAACGGTGTTGCCCAGAGGGGGAAGCAGGTCACCAGAGTGGCGGATCTTGTTCGCCTGAAGCAGTTTGTTGGGGCAGCACGGAGGGGAATTGACTTCTGCGTGCATTACTGGCGCGATGTGAGCCTCTCAAAGAGCGTTGTGGTCCACCTTGCGGACTCTGGTCACGCCAATGGCACCACTGAACACGATGAGAAGATGAGGTGCAGAAGCAGCGGCGGCTACTTCATTCTGATCGCGAACCCCGGAATCCTTGACGTACAGGAGGTCAACGGGTTTTCCGGAGCACCTTGGCGGCGGAAGCTTCGCACTTGGCAGAAGCCGTTGAGGCTGGAGATTGGATCATTGTTCTTTTGGAAGAAGCCTTCACGGGGAAGCTCGACTTGAAGAACTGGCCCGAGGTGATATTGTAAAGGCAAAGAGTGTACGCCACTGACGCCAGGTCCGTGTACGATTATCTGGAACAAGATGCTACAAGCACATCCAGTGACAAGCGGATGGCGGGTGCGCTCTTCCGTGAAATGGTCAGGCAGCCAGGGGCCCACGTAAGATGGGTCGACGGCGTGCAAAACATGGCAAATGTCCTCACGAAGAGCCATGCCGAGAAAGAGACCCTGAAGACTTTTCTTCGTGAAGGCATGATCGGCCTTACACAGAGTGAGGCAAATGCCCCGTTGAAACTGAAGCAACGGGCCGAAATGGCCAAGCGCTGGAACCAGAGCCACAAGAAACTGCAGAAGGAGACCCAGCTGAAGGACACGATTTGGGAGATTGAGAAGCACGGTGATGACGACAAGAACCATCAGCAAAGTTAAAATTTACCAGCGTGGAATTCCCCCAGGTGTTTCCTGATCGCTGGCTGGTGCGCAACTGGCCCAGGCAACCTGGCGAGTGCAAGGCAAAGCATCTGCAGGACATGCTCTGGTCTGCTTAGAAGCAAACACACAGAAGCATGCGATTCACCACAGAGAGTATTTGAATCAGACTTTGCATGTTGCGGTGTAAAAGGGAATTGTGCTATGCCCTGCTACCAGTGCGCGATTTCGCACCTTTAATTGGCAAATCAGGTCTCCGAATCAGCTTTCTTTTTGTCACTTTAAGAGCAGGTTAAATCAGCAAATTTCGTTTACGAATCAGCTGTCCTTTTCTGACTTTAAGATGAGCCTAGCACTTAGGTCGAAAAAGGTTGTGAAGTGAATGACCGCGAATTTTTTCCCGTCCTCTCGGCGTTTTCTCCATGCATGTAAAAAAATTCTCACGTAAGGGGTCGCACAGGAAGCAATGTTTGAGCATTTTATTCTTGATGAGTTTTCAGGAGCAAATCAAGTCCTGGAATCAGCTTTTTTCTTCTTAGCTTATGAGCAACGAAGTGATTGAATTTTCCTGCAGCCTAAGCCTTTTTTCCTTTCCTGAAAGCGTGGCAAAGGGTTTTCAGTCGAGGTGATCGTCGAACAGGATCAGGATGGCGCGGTGGAGTTACAATAGGATGGCGTGAGAATGGTGATAGATGGATGTGATGATGAAAAGCTGTCGTGAGGTATCGAATGCAGGTTGGCGTGAGGTATCGGATATTAGGATGGTCTGATGGAAGGTCGTGAAGTATCGGATGTTCTGATAGCCTCAAGGACGGTCATGGTGAGGCATCGGGTCTACATGGTCTGTCTGTCTCCTGCTGATTTATAATGTGGTTCACAGCGCGGGGTACGTCCGGCGTGAGCTGGGCACCTTGCGAAAATCGCGCTGGCGCATGGAGCATCCGCGGAATTGAGCGCACAATCGACGACCCTCTTGGTAGCCGCGGCGTGTCGGAGTGCTGGTGCGTGGAGCATCCTTGGAATTCTGCGCAGGCACGCAGCGGGCCGCGCACGAAATTTTAGGCACAAGTGACGAATGTTTCATGCACTTGTCATGTCGGGTCTCCGGTGCCTGGAGCGTTCTTGGAATTTTGTGTGCAAGTGACGCGCGGCGTGTCGTGTCGCTGGCGTGTGGAGTGTCCTCCAAATTCTGTTCGGACTCGATGACTTCGTCGGGTTTTTCTGGCGGGTCGGAGCACTAGCGTGGGGAGCGTCCTCAGAATTTTGCCCCGTTGGAGCGCTGCCGCATAAAGTATCTTGAGGATTCTGTTCAAAATCAACGATGCTCTGGTGGGCTGAAGTTGTCCGAGCGGCCACTTTGTATAGTACAACTGTACTGCCGGCAATGCCTCTTCGGAAGCCTCACGAAATCTTCCGAAGCTGTCTCAGCCTCAATTCGATCATTTCTTGGTACGTGCAAATGTAGTACTGGAAACGCCTCTTCTGAAGCCAGAGTTCTTCTGAAGATGCCCAGGACCGAATTCGACCACTTTGTATGGCAATCATCATATAATTCGAAACATGGTAGTAATGATGATGATTATATATTTGTTCTTATTGAGACAAGAAAGAATAATGGTTATAGCAATAGTTGTGATGGTTCAATAAAAATAGTCACAACAAGACAAGTCATATTAGTACTTTCAGTAAAACCAGAATTTTCAATTTCGGTAATAAGATGAATCGTAATCATACTCGTAACAATAACAGTATTCGTAATCCGGAGCAATTACAACGTTAGTCGCAATGATAAGAACATAATAGTCGACATAATAGCAGTAGTGATAGTAATGGTTGCAATAAGATAAGTATTAACAATAGTGATAGCAATAATAGTCATAGTACCTCACATACTGAGAATAGTAGTCGTGGATGGATGGAACAATGCTTCGATGCATGTCTGGATGAAGGACGGGTTAGGGAGATGTTACCCGCTGCTAAAACGCATTTGGGACAACCGTTCTATTGTTTAATCTTAGTTCCTGGTTGACCAAAACCTTCCTTGTTTAGTGGCTTGATTTTCCAAGACTTGAGCTTTAGTTTGTTTTTTCGAGTCCTACGATTTCAAACTAAACCTGACACCTTTTGAGTTGAGCCCCAATTAAGAAAATCGTTTCTTGTTTTTTGGCTGCAGGTTGTTCTTGGATTCTAGGAGTTTTTAACCACAAAATCGCCTCTGCCTTGAATCTAGTCTTTGACTCTTTAATTTGGCCCTACAAGACTCGAGCCCCGCCAAGTTTTCGCAGGCATTAACGCGTCTGAGATTGCGAGAGCTAATTAATCCTCCAGGTTCTATTTGCCATAGTGCTTGCCGCAGAGGTGTGTGCTGGGGGAATTTGCGAAGGAATGATGCTCTCGCCTCAGCACAAGCACAGCAGTGAAAAGTTCGTTTGCAAGACGATGTGTTCGTGTTGCAAGGCTGGGCTGCCAGAAGACAAAAGTCAGACCCATCAACATCCCAAAGGAGCTTCTGCAGTCAGCGATTAGCACATCTGATTTTGTGTCGCAACGAAGATCTGCTACAAGTTCTCGCGCACATTCAATTGGATTCCGCATGTCTATCTGGCCTGTTTTGAGTGAGCTGATGGTGGCTTTCATTGGCGGAGTAGGTAGATATTTTGCTGCAATCATGGAAAGCGGTGAGTCTTCTGGATCACGGACGCCCAGCAAATGTGCGTAATAGCAGAAGTAGCAAGCTAGAAGTAACAGTCATCATTACAGCACTGGCAGTCATCAATGTGATAATCGTGTTTCGTTGTAGTGGTGTTAGCAGTAGCGGCAATGGCAATGGACACTGCTCCTCCTTCTAGTGGTTTTCATAACCGTAACCGTGGCTATTACCTTCGTGGTGCATATCCTGGCTGCCATTGCAACGCATTGCAACCCCATCGTGTTTGAAGAATTACTTGAGGTGTGGATGCGTGTTTGGGCTATGAAGAGTTTTGTTTTTTTCATTCGCGCAAACTAGAAGTTTCTGTCTTGAAGCCGCGATTGGACCGTGCAGCTTGTGTGGTGTCCTGCGTGCCTGTTATGTTCTTTCTGCAAGATGTGTTTTTGGCAAAGCCCTAAATTATTGGCGTTTCGGTCAATTTGACATCTGCAGTTGTCACAGCATTGTGTTCATGGAAGCTATCACAGGCATTGGGGGGGGTTATTTCAAGACTGTTTTGCAACTAAGCAACGAACCTCCAGGAAAAGCTAGACCCGCAGACTTGCTAGCTTTCAGAACAGGTCCTCGGCCATGTACTGGCGGGTCTTTTCGAAACAGAAGCCTGCTCCATCATGGTTTTCCTGGATGCACTGGGAAGCAAAGACAAACGCAACGGACACATGGACAACGTTGTGTTCCGGGCGTGGATGCACTGGAGAGACTCAGACGCGCTCGTGCGCGGACGTGAGGATGGACAGGGCATAGATGCACTGAAATGCGACTGTGTGCTCGAACATGGACAATGTTGTGCTTAGGGCATGGATGCACTGGGACAGAAGATGTCGGTCAGCCTGCTTGGAATCAAACACAGAAAGGTGTGTATACATATACAATATACATAGACACTATCTCAAAAAATAACAGGGTGAACGGTTGGGTTGTCGTGTCTTCTGTACCCCCCCCGCCTCCACCATCAGGTCCACCTCGCTGCTGAGCTCCAGCCTTTCCCTCAAACCACCGCCCAAGCCCCTACCCGCATGCTCGAACTCAACAACCAACCTCCCCGCTCCCTCCAACCCCCAACTTCAGTGCAGGCCTCTGAAAATTTGTTCTGCGGGTCAGCCTGAGGACCCCTCCCATGTCTGCGTGCAGCAGTGCAGCCCCTTGCTACACGCGCATACGTGTGAGCAAGGATCCCTTTTCAGTCGCCAAAAACCAGTGTGTTGTGCCATGAGTAATGTATCTAGCTTTTGGAGGTTGCGCAGGGGGTTGACTAATCGTAGAGACGATGGCCTAGTGCCACACCAGACCCCCTTCTTTCCCCTCGCCCGCCAGACCTGGGACCCATCTCAGAAAACGGCTCGAATCACAAACGGTATTTATTGTTTGACGGTTTATCGAGACCCGAATTCCCTCTAAGGCCCAGATCTGGAATGCTTCTGGCCTCATGTTGCTTGGCATGGTCTTGCGTGGTGGAAACACAGACACTAAGTGCATATCCAGAATCCAGCAAAGCTATACACATATGTGCAGATCCAGAGATCCGGTCCGGAGCAAAGGCAGCCAGCATCTGGCCCATGCTGGGAAACGAGGGCCCCATCAGCATAGGATCCACAGTTGGGAAGTCCAATAATTGGGCATTTCGCTAGACAGTCGCTCGCCTGATAGCTCCTACTAGTACCAATACTAGTCATATTATAACAACTACTGCTACTCTGACGAGTGAGACGTGAATGCTCATAGGGAGCGACACTCGCGTATCTGTACTCTCCAAACAAAGGTCTGAGAAACATGGCGGTAATTCAAAAATCTCTCCGACCTGAGCTCTTTTGTTTTGGGGGTCAGCACAAATGGAGGGCTCAGTTGAGAGAACGCTTTTCAAATCACCTCTTTTAAAGACTTGCTTTTTGCAGGCTCGGGGAGGACTATCCTTGTCATGCCTTGACACTTGTCATTCTTATTCCCGGCAAAGGGTACAGCCTTTGATGAGATTTCGGAATCTCACGGCCGGAGGCTTCTGGGCAACTCGGATTAGAATGTCTTCATGAGGAGCTTAGCATTGTTGTCGCCTTGAGAGATTTGTTTGGATTCTATACCGGCTTTAAGAAAGGGATAGATAGTTTCGGGCATTCCGGCAGTTTACGAATATCACGGGCGGAGGCATTTCTAGGCTGGCTTTGCAAGTCAAATAACGAGAGCTAGCTAGGCTCCTGAACCACAGAACTTTTCTGTCCGTCTGGTCTGATAAATCTGATGGGGCCTCTTTCCTGTCTGTGGACCGCCTGGGTTGTTTCGACAGGTTTGTCATTCCATTCGGGTTTGTTTTGCCTTTCGTTATTGGATAATCTCGAGGGCTGAAATTCTGGAACTCCATTGCAAAGGCAGTCTATTTCTATACGCCACTATGTGGAATCAAAAATGAGTACGCTGTTATAGGTTTCCCAGAAGAGCATTGAACTCGTGATTTTTCCTCACTGGTTTTGGAGATGACAGAATGAATGTGTTCTTGAGGGTTCTACTCATGAACAGCTTTTGAAGGCTTTGTACTTGAGAATCTTTGACTCTGAAGACGCAGCATCACTAAGACGCCTAGCGGTTCGTAGGCAAGCCAAGGCTCCGCAGCTCATGGCCGTTGTACTTCGTACACCTGATGATTGCATCCCGTGACGTATCACTAAGCAGATGCATTTCTTCCAGAGACAAAGAAACACAAACACGCACATACACAAACAAACAGACTTGGGGGCAGACTTGGTGAAACATTGCCTACCCGGCTCTCAGAGTCTCATGAAAAGACCAGACATGTTTGAAAGGCCAGGACATTGCCACATCAAACTCATCCAGCATTTGCGCTCCACTCATTGGTGCATGAGTTCTTTGGAAGCCAGGCGATGCCCTGAAAGCGCAACAGTTTGACCGATACCCCACGTGGCACACGCCTGTGGGAAGATATGAAAAATTATCCTCAGCGCATTGAAGAAAGAATACCCAATCTGGAGCGAAGAAGCTTCATGAAATGGACAGATCTGCTTCAAAGAGAGCACACATATACAAGCATATCCCATCAAGGAGAAGCATGTCATGTTGCAACCGCCTCAGTTCCTGCACCACTTGAATAGCAACTGCCCTGTCCTGGTGTGTGCAGAGTGCATTTTCCACTAGAGACTCCAGCAATCTCACGATGGGCTATTTTGATAGGAAATCTGGGTGATCTGCAAGCAACCACGTTGAGCGCCTCGCATGCTCCTCCACTTCTGCTCTGTAAAGAAGATTCCAGCAGTTGAAGACTTACTGGAAAGTCTCAGGTGTATATCATCAAGGTATTGATGTGCATGCTGCATTATACCGGTTGTATCCTGATCATCCAATGCAGAGCGATGCTGTGTGAGATGCATTGCTATGTCATGATTGCTCATTTGGCCCCGAGAAAGTCTCCATGTAAACGCCCAAAACAATTTCACCTGCACTGCGTCCAGCGAAGCGATCCCATGTTTCGCTGTCAACAGAGCCCATGCTTTCAGCAGTGTAGCTTGAATCCTCTACAGAATCTGCCTGGTCTGTGCAGGTCGGCACTCAAAATGAAAAGCTTAGCAGACTGTGTGCTCAAGAATTTGCATACAAGAGCCTAAAGGCAATCCAACTGAGCGGAGATCAAAGCTCTCTCTAAAAAGGGAAGAGAGGGGCTTTCGGAAACAAGGGTTTGAGGTAAGCAAAGCGTGATGTTTCGTAAGGTATCATAAGCAATTCAGTGGCGACGTTGTTGCCGATAGCATCGTAAGCTCTTGTTCATGTTGGTGTTGTTGTTATTATCCCGAACGAACCAGTCCTTGCAGTTGCAGCAGCTGCAGCATGCCGGCGTAAGCGTCGTAATCAACCAGAAGCAACAACAACGTCATGTTGTAAGCTAAAGCTTCCAAAACGTAAGCTACCGTAAGTATTTTTAGATGGGAGTAGGGGTTCGGGCATCGCTCAACTGGAATTCAAGGCTTGCTCCGTTTTGCTTCTTTGCTAATTGTTATTATGTTTGTCGCTTTTGGGGTTCGTCATTTATAAACGTGGAGAGTGGAGATGCAAGATTCGGGAACTTCGTTTGAAAGGACAAGACCATTTGAAGCTGCTAGGAGTGATTAATTCGGTGGATACCAGGACTTCAAGCAGGGGGGTGTTATAAGGGAGTGATGGATGAAGATGCGGAATCATACGGAATAGAGGTTTCCAAGTCGTTACAACCATTGGATTTGCGAAATTTTTCGGAGGTACAATAAAGGAAAATGGATGCATCTATGACACTTACCGGTTTCCTTGACTTTCTGTTCTTAAACTGCTTTTTCAGGCTTCGCGCCCAGGAAGGTAAATACAAGAATCTAAAGGCGATCCAACTGGATTTCAGGCTTTCTTCAATTTTTTGTTATTGTTATTGTTGTTGAACAGAAATGATAGCAAGAATCCGAGAAGTTGAACTGGAGTTGGGGATCTTCTTGACTTCCTAATGAAGAGGTGGTTGCTTCAATTGACATGAAACTGGCCTGCTTAAACCTGAAAAGTCTAGCTGGAATCTGGAAAATCGGAGTAACCCATGTGTTTTGCCGATGGGAGAGCGATAGTTTTCATAGACCTTCGAAGAGTCCGTCATGATTCGGAGGCGAAGCGATTTAGTTGTGTAGCCAGTAGAGGATGGTCGGTGCTGCAAGTCTCGACCGTGCATAGCATTCTAGCTGTCGCCCGCATTGCTCTTACGTAAAGGCTCAGTCTGAAACGGTCCCAACATTGCCTGGCAAAAGCAGTCTCTCATTTTTTGTGGTTGTGATTTTTATAGCATGTTTTTCCACAAATAACAGAGCTATTAGGGTTCTTATGTATAAAAGGGGGGTGGGCAGGCAGTTTCCGGCTCAGAGTGCTGTTGAGGGTGCTGGTTACCTGGCATTTGAGTCTGGAATGTCTGGAATTTGATTGTTGTCATCCCTTTTCATTTGTACACGCACCAAGATGTAGGAACATCAAAGGGCTGCTCCTAAATTTGTTAGGTTGCAGGTTAAATCAATTGAACAATCCAACGAAATCCAACTTTGGGGAATTTCTCCTGTGCCGGGGTGATCATTTGCAAGCAAACGAACTAAACCCATGCCAACCTCCGAGGGAAACTCTCATGCGACAGGTTGGTCCGAGCGCGAGGCATGTCATTGCCTACGGTGATGGGCTTTGAGCCGCAACTTGCCTTGGGATCCTTGCCTTCCGATTGCTTGAGGCTTAATGGTTTTACCTGCAGCAGTGAAAGAAGCTGGCAGGGAGGCTCATGGGTCCCTGTAGGCAGGTGCGGTTTAGATGTTGCGTTTTGCAATGTGTGAGGCTCAACAAATGCAGAAGGCATTGCAGGCTAACTCCAGCAACCTCAGCCAGTGAAGCTCCTAGCGGGTCGGCTACATGACAGCAAGTTGTCTGTCTGTTTCCTCAGTTTCAGTAGAAGATCGAGGTCCCAGCCCCTGGAAGCGTTGACCGAAGACCTCGGGAAGATCTTCCAACCACAGCACCTGTTCAGACTTCTGCTAGTGTTCTTGATTTGTGTGCTGAGCTTGCATATGCTGAGGCAGAGCCGCCGACTCGACCAGAAAGTCTTGCAGACTCCGGCTGGGGCGTTTTGCGCCACGTTTGGATCTCCTGTCATGCTGTCCGCGAAATTCGTTCTTCCGAGCAATAAGACATGCCAGGGTGAGTTCAGAGAAGAGACGCTCGATGACATGGAGGCAGCTTTCATCTGGTTAGTTTTGCACAGTGTGAAGATGGCTGCGCAAGGATGACTGGAGCCGTGGTCTCAGAAATCACGCCAAGTGGTATGAGGGGCTGACGTCAAAAATGTCCATGGTCGTGGCTCTACAAGCGCGCTGGGCAAACATTAGAATTTCCCAACTAATAGATCACATGTTGTATGGTCCATTGCCACACAGTGCAAAGCTTTTGAAGCGTAGAAGAACCGGACTCCAGCCATGCCAAATTTCTTTCGTCCCCACGCCCTCAATCAGCAGGTCAGAACTGTATCCAGCGAGCGGAGGTGAGCCCTCGACTCCCATGAGAGCCAGCTAATTGAAGATGGCTATTAAAGATTCGAAGTACAACGAGACCCGTATCAGCATCATGCAGAGGCCCAAGTGGAGCAAATCCACAAAGCACGGGACGCCTAGCATGGCCACCTCAATTACGGACCTGATTGAATTGGCAGCGCGTTAAAATGCACAGCGCCACCCCCAGCGCTCTCACATCTTTCAGGAAATCATGGAGCTCATTATGAGGAATATTCCGGACCCACGAACCGCAGAACGAATCGGACGAGGAATTGGAGATGATTGCGGCTTTCTTTCCAGATCGCAGCCAGAACAGGTACCTTCCAGCCAAAAAAAAACGCCACAGCTTCCAGTTCCACGTGCTCCAGGAGGATGTTCTGCAAACAGGCCATGCGATCCCACGGTCCGGATCCGATAGCTGTAACTCGGTGTCACGCTCTAAGCCAACTTTCATCAAAAAGTTGTGGGAGCAACGGCCAGGCAAGCCCGTGCATGTACAAAAGAAAGAAAGCTTACCCCGAATGCTCTTTGATGCATAGTCGGCTGGGCAGAGCTAGCTAGATGTACAGTGTCAAGTGATGCCACTCCTCAGAGGGACTGCAGGGCAAGTGAGCAAAGGTGGCATTGGCCTGTATTGCTTGTCTTTGCTCATGCGCTGTGAGTCTCACCTTGCAGGCAGGCACGGCGCTTTTGACGAGATGATTGCTCGGGTCCAAGCCTGCTTCAAATTCAATGGAGGAGGACTTGCAGCTATGTCTGAAGTCAAGGTGCAAATCACCGAGCCAATGCATTACCCGATCACCGATGCAGTCTGGTCCCTGGCGGTACAAACTTCACACGTCAGTGTTAACGGAGCTTGTCGGTGCTGTAAGTGCTCTCCGCCACGGCGCTCGATAAAGAGCTGGGTGTGTAGAAGCAGTGGGGATGTCTCTTGGCACGAGCGACGTTGTAAATTTTCAGACTGGGGAACAGAGCCAATAGATGCTGCTCTACAGATGCAGCATCAAAGTAGTTCAAAAGGCGGATCAGCTTTGCTTCGCATCGCGAGTCTAGTCCGAACCCAAACTCGAACCCGTGAGGAAAACTAGCCGCTGCACCCGAACTCCAACCCGAACGCCCCCTACGGCAAGAGAAGCTTCCTTCCCAACGGGGTTTTACACCTTGTACCGCAAACGAACCTGAACGTGAGAAATTCAGGGGTACCCGGGGCGCTTACTGTTGCTTCAAATGCGAACAGCCTGCTCTAGCCGTCCAGCCTTTCAAAGTGATTCATGTGCGGGGAGGTGATGCAGTACCTGCTAGCAGCTGATGCGTTCAGAGGCTTAGAGGCCTGGGTCGGCTTAACCTACTCACAACGCATTTGGTCTCACCATTGGCTTCAGGATGGTCGAGAGGCTACGCATGGTCCACTGCCCTGGTTAAGCAAGGGGTGTGTATTGCCTTCAGTTCCGACTCTGTACCAAGGCCCGATCAAGATCATTGGCTACGAACTTTTGGATTCACCGGGAGCTACTGGGAAAGCCAAGAGACAGCCGAAGGCAGGCCTTTCCTTGTCATCCTTGACGGTCTTTGCAAAAGCGCTAAGGGGAGGTTTTCGGTCATGTGTTGGCAATGCATGCCTCAACATGCAACATATGGGCGGCAGATGTTTGTCTGCCAAAGACTTCAAAGACAGTGCTCTCCAGATTGCCAAACACTGTCAAGCTTGACGTGAATGAGTGGACTTTTTGGGCTATGTAGAAGTCTCCCCCAAACCCCTCCCTCACAGTACATTGGAAGTAAGAGAAACCAATTGTCTGGAACAGTGGAGTGTAACAGGAACCGGCCCTGATTCCGTAACAGGAACCAGCCGGTTTCCGTAACAGCACGGCTGGACCCTGCGCAATGCGAACCAGCCGGGGCTTCGGAAAACCTAGACATTTGTTCAGACGGGCTGAAACTTTCTTCTCCGGACTCTGCCGAAGGGAGACCGATTTTTAGTTCCCCCTTCTAGATGCATTTTGTCGGGCATTTCTGGCTTCCTACCAACCTCAAACTAAGCCACAGCCTCAAGTACAAATGTGGAAATTTTGAACCTCAAATTCCCATTCTAAAGCAAGGGCCGACATGTGAACTTCAGGGTTTGGGGTTTAAGGTTTACGGTTTTCGTATCCAAATTTTGGGGTCTAGAAGTTGTAATTCTACAAAACTGGGACCAACATATGGGTCTTTCGTGGTCTTTCCATTATAACTGGGGGTCAGGAATTCATGAAAAGGTGGATGTTTGACCCTTCCGATACATACCCCAATACATACCCCGATACATAGCTTGATACATACCTCGATACATACCCCGATACATACCACCACAAGCCTTTTGTCAAGATCCCAGCGCTACGACCCGCTACGAAACATACCCCGAAACATACCCCGAAACATACCTCGAAACATACCCTGAAACNNTCCAAACATGTTTTTTGACCACGGCTTCGCATGAAACACCCATATTGTAGTCCCTACTTGGGCTGGGGGCCCGCGATTCTGCGCTGCTTGCAAGGTCGAGCGGACCTAGACAGTGTACTTATAACCAACATATGCCAACAGCGCCCCACTCTTACCCAGCATTTTGAAAGCGCCCAAGCCATACACATGGCCATCCAGAGACAGTCTGAATGCACCAAAGATGACGGATACGCAGATTTGACAAGTAGGTATGAGGCCTCAAGACCTGTGCTGCATTAAACATGTCGTATTCTTCAACATTCAAGTACAACCTGTTGATACATGAATGAATTGGCAAATATGCGGCTCCAGGCTTCAAATTGAAGAGCAATGTTCAGATCCTACATTTGTAGTTTGTAACATTCATTGCATCCTTTATTTGTAAAAGGTTTTTCAATTATTGAGTTCATGATCAATTGTTGATTTTAAGCTGACAATTGTAATAAGCGATGCTGAGCTACCACGTCCACTTCTATAGCGACGCGGAATCAAAGATCTACTTCCAGGCGTCGAAGAACGGCTTCCAGATCCAGAGGAAGAAGAAGCACGCTGGTCGAAGAAAGAAGAAGATCTCCTACACTTCGTAGCAGAAGGTCAAGAACCTCCAGACCTCGCGATATAAGTCCAGAATCCCGCGATAGAATGACTGTTTCTCAGACTCGTCCTACAGCGTGGATTGGTAACCCACCAGGTCACCAGGACGCTTTGATAGGGCTACGTCACCTTGTAGAGGTGATAGAGCCCACCGAAAAGTTCAAGATTTGGGAAAGTCTCCAGCGCAATGGATTGGACCTCAACAAACTAGTCCTGTTATGGCGACAACATCTCTTGGATCAGCAAGGCCTAGGGCTTCTGCGGAAACCGCCAGTATTCCTGCCGTGGTTGAACCTTCGAGAGAAGGCTTCGTTTTGGCCTCCACGTCGTCTACGGTTCCACATCAACTTGTAGTAGTTCGACCTCCGGGCCAAGTTCAGTCTGACACTGTTTTCACAGGGTCATATGGAGGAGATTAACTACGAGTTGCAGCAAGCAATGGCCACCGCTCTGGAAAACAACACTTATCCAAAATAGGGCCCCAAGTTCTTGACAACAAAGTCAATTATCCATGGGCTCCTGTAAACTTTACGGAAGTTGCTACATTCAAAGGCCGCAGAATGTGGGTCAAAGAAGGGATTGAGAAGATCCCCTCCACTACATATCCGGCATTCAACCAAGCCAGGGTTTCCTGTACGAGATTATGTGCAAGAATGGCACAGTGCATGGTATGTCAGATAAAGTGTTCACAATTTTCTGAGCGCTGTGCTTTGCAATGGACATGACATTCGAGTTTTGAGATTCTGGCAAGGCAGTTTGGATGTTGCAAACCAGAAACTTTCCGGGGCCTGCTACTTATGAATGGTCAGCAAGTCAGACCATCCATTGGATGCATTGTATGCATCCAGTTTGGAGTGTTGAAGTGCGGTTTCATACTGCCAAGCTGCAGCGATCGTATTCAGCTACCTGATTATTTGCAACTTTGCAGTTTCATTGGAAGAGCCAGCGTAGCGCCAAAACACTACGATCCTGAAGAGCACGTCAAAGTTGTCTCTTCTGTAGCCTCCAGTCCGAAAAATACCTCTGGTGTGATATTCTCCGGCATTATCAATGGACCGTGCCACAAGTTTCAAGAATCGAATACTTGGCGAGGACAATTCCTCAGCGAGTTTGCCGGTGTCATACACAGTCGATCCAGTGCAAAAGATGTTGCGTAAGAGCCGATCTTGCCGGCGTTCAATGGATCTTTTTGGTCAGCTCATCAAATAGTACCATACGTGCAACAATTAGCCGCCCCAAGAACACATCTAAATGGATGCAAGTTCAAGGCTTCAACGAGGGGACAGTCCAGCAGCAAAACATTAGCGCTGGTTGGAAATGGCAAGAGGCAAAGCCAGGCAACCTCCAGGACCCCAATGAGCCTTGAGACCTCTAGAATCCTCAGAGCAAAGATTTTCTTATGGTGAATCTTGTCGATTACTTTCTACTCAACATGTATTCAATCCATCTGCCATTAATTATAGGTTCAGTGTTCAAGAATTCCAGAAATGCTGTGGATTGCGGATATGACAAGAGGCTAAGCCAAAAAAACTCCAAGACCCCAATGAGCCTTGAGACCTCTAGAGTCCTCAGAGCAAAGATTCTCTTAGTGGTGAATCTTGTTGACTACCTTTTAATTACAGATTCAGTCTGTGGACTGCGTGCGGGCATGGCCAGAGGCTAAGCTAAAAACCTCCAAGACCCAACTTTCATGGACACATTATTGTTTACAGGCTCAACACTCAAGAATTCCGAATATTGTGGATGGCATGAGGCTAAGCCAGTCAACCTCAAACAAAGATTTCCATAAGCCTGGAGGCCATGCAAATCCTAACGACTGTACTATAACATGAGACAGGATATTACAAGCGTAACAAAGTCCTTGTCAATCAACGAGCAGAGACAAAATCAAATATGTAAGAGAAAGGCCACGCAAGTTTTTATTAAATTCTAACAAATCGTTATGGATGGCCTGAGGCTAAGCCAGACAAAACCTCAAAGGGCCCTATAAACCTGGAGACCCAGTTGAAAGAAATCGTCTTTCATGAAATTATGGTTCCCTTCTCTAAAGGTTTGCCAAGGAATAAAATTTGTTCAATTAACCAAGAAATTGCCATCTCATAAAGCCATTTGAGATTGAGAGAGGAAGGCCCCATCAGCCTTAACACGAGGTACTAGGAATGCCACCATGGCAGAAATCTTGGCAATGGGACTCCGAGTCAAGTTCCAACTATGATTCAAAGACAGGCTCATCTTGGACGTTGCCTACCTCAAGAAAAGATTCCAATGATTGGTGGACTACTCCAACAAAAACGGGATGGCAAAGTGAGCGTTATGAAAGCCCGCATTACGATCGAGATTGGGGAAGCCCAACCGGATTCAAGCCAACCCAAGGGTTGCCTGCGGAGTTAAAAGAAGCAAAGCTTTTCTCGACAGTAGAGAGCTGTGCGGGAAGACTTTTCTCCGCAATATTGCTGCCGCTACTTGGTCTAGCAAATACGGGTTGGGCGGACGGGCAATCGCAGATCTCAGACTTACGGAGATTCTGTGGGAGGGTTTTCGAAACCATCATCTTCGCGCTTTGTCCCACAGACGTTTCATGTCCCTTGTAGTGGCCCGTAAGATAAATGAAGTGGTTTTTGCCTCAGCCCTCTTGACAGGGATCAGAGAGAACAAATGGGACATGGATGAACTTGCCCAAAACTTTTTCCAGACTCATCCAGAACTTCGTCCGGAAAGGGGACGAAGTAGTGTGGAAGAGTACAAGGCTCAGCTACTTTCAGTCATGGCAAAAGGAGCCATTAGTGCTCTTGAAGCTTTTGCGCCGCAACCTGATGAGAAAGATAAGGGGATCATGGAGTTAGAACAACAAATAGAAGCTTCCAACAAGATGCCTCCTGCCGAAGCCTCCAATCCACAACCGGCAACAAAACGGAGACGACTGGAGGGGAAGCAGTCGCATCCCATTTTACGGAAGGCTTCGATCGTTGCAAGTGATGAGATTATTTTGTTCAAGCTCTTGATCCTCAACAAGTTCCCCAGGTGCGAGTTTTGGTCCAAACTCAACCATCAATGGAGTCACCAAGACTATGGTTGACACATGGGTCAAAGGCCTCAACAAGAATGACAAAGTCGAGTATGATCAGATGGTAGCTTCCCTGACTTTGGGGTCAGAGAAAGTCAAAGAGTTATCCAGTCAAACGGTCTCACAATTGAAGGACAAGTTGGCGCAAACAGGCCTCCCTATTCAGATGGCAGCCAACGTAAAGGCCCCAGAGATGATTCAGTTGCTCATTGCAGAGACACATTTGCCGGAAGTCTGTGAAGGACAAGTTCCAGACAAGCCGTTGGACTGAGAAATCTGGATACACTGTCAAAGGATGTTACTGGCCATGATTCTTTTAATCAGATTTTGTAGTTACAGTCCAGACATTGTGCGATTAAGGCTTCCCGCCAGATGCTTGGCAGCTTTCCTGCTACTATGCTGTATTCATGTTATGATTCCTCGTACGTCTACCCTTATGACATGGCAGCGTCGTACGCAGACTTTGGGGGTGCTACGTTACAAAATATTGCAGGGAATTTTGAGCGTGCCAATGCAACGTATGTGACCCTGCAAGGACTTCAAAAGGACGTCATTGTGCCCAGCAAGTTC